TATGTTGATGGCATCTGCAAAGACACTCTCTCCAAATAAGTTCACATTCACAGGCACCAGGGGTTAGAACTTGGACATGTCTGTGATGTCCCATGACTAAGGGCATCTCTCTTTCATCTCCTTACTGGCAAACTGTCTGGAGTCTGGACTGGGTCAGGGGCAACCTTGTTGCCCCTTGAAATTCCCCCAGCACCTTAAAGAAAGGAGATCTCCTCCCTCCCCCAGAGATTCCAAGCCCCTTTCCTGGGTTGGAGGTGGATGCTGGTATTTCTTAAAGAATAGAGCAGATAGTCCTCCCCCATGGGGGTGGGCCTCATCCCATCAGTTGAAGGTTTGAATAGAACAAAGAGTGAACCTCCCTGAGTAAGAGAGAATTTCTCCTGCCTGACTACGTTTGGATGGAGACATTTGTTTCTCCTTCCTTTGGATTCAAACGGAAACGTTGGCTTTTCCTGGGTCTGGAGCCTGCAGTGCTTCAGACTAAAACTCCGTCATTGCCTCTCCATGGTCTCAGACCTTCAGAATCAGACTGGGGTTCTAGAAGGCCTTTCTGTACCTCATTTTTCCGTACACTGCGATCCCATACATTGGTACTCACAAGATCAGGAGGCATTCACGCGCTACTAAATTGGAAGGCACAGTCATTCCCATTCTGTAGATGGGGAAGCTGAGGCCCAGGGAGGGGCACTGATGATAAGCCCTCTGGTTGTTGGGAAAACAGAGAGGGACCCAGGAGGTCTGGCTGCTTCCTTCAGCACGCCACTGTGAGAGACCCGGGCCATAAAACCCAGTTGGGATGCGCATGGTTGTTGGCCTTCCCGGTCTTCTGGGGACCTCTGACAGCGGGGACCTGGGCCCTCGCAGCCCCACCCCCCAGAGTCCCCCTGCAGGTGCACCTCCAGCGGCCCAGGGCGCCTGTGCAGGGACTGCTTGCTTCTCCTCAGTCCAACCTGCTCTGGCTCGAAGGCGAAGAAGCAGCATGTCCCACACGCTCCTTGGAGCTTGGAGACAGCGTCCCGACGCTGTGCTGTGCCCTCCCTTCCCAACCAACCCCGCTCGGAGGGCAACAGTTACCAAAGCGGAATGCGGAAAAGGGGTCCAAAAATCATCTATGCTGTGATTTTATGATGTTGAGGATTTGCAAAGCTAAACATAAAAGGAAGAAAAGACAAGGGTAGAAAAATGGGTGCGTGCGTCTAGACCTGGGACGATGAGGAGCAAACACACCAGCAACAAGGGAGAACTGTTCAGGAGGGTTTGGGCTGTCAGGTGGAAGAGCGATGCGATTCTGTGCTGGGTTCTCGGAGGACCGGGGCCCGTAGGTGTGGCGGCTCCGGCGGGGAGGTTGGCTTCCCTGTGCCGTCAGCGCAGATTTTCTGGGAGAGCCACCCCCGCTGGGGGGCTGCTTCATACGGGATGGTACCCTCAGGTGCGTACGAGGATTCCCTCGGGGCCCTCAAGCTCCTGTGCCTGAGTCACCCGAACCCCTGGGCCTGAGAGGGTGCCTGCATTTTCAAAAGGCCTCTCCCGGAGACACCGCACCCCAAGAAACACTGTTCTCGGTAACAGCCCGGATTCGATCTGAACTCCCACACCCAACCTTTCTCCAGCCTTACCAAGCTCTTCTCCAGCCCTTGGTCAAGACCACCCACCACTGCCGCTGTTCCCTGGAGGTAGCTCCTGCCCAGCGTCCCTTAGAGATGAAGGCGCCCCCCACCCAACCCCAGCAGTGAGCAGAGCAGACCCCACGCCACCCCTGCTGAAAGCAGCCCCACCCCATGTCCCCACAGGGGCCTGCCTTGCAGCCGGGACCCCGGGCAGGGGTCTCACTGCGGGTCCCCACGTCCCCAGGACAGCCCTGCCACGAGCCTCTCCCTGCGTTCACGCCCCCACCCCCAACCTGAGGCCCCTCCCGGCCTGTTCACCTGATAGATGGTCGTTGCCAAGGCTGCACGTGGAGCAGGATTCCAGGAAGGGGGCTGTGAGCCGTGAGCGATGCCACACGTGTCATCCCCGCCCTAGACCACTGTCGGGAGCCCCTCTCCCATAGCTACTCACATCTGTCCCTTGGGACATGATAGCCATGTCCCAGGACAGTGCTGGGGGCACACATTTTAGCCTGTAAGGTAATGATAGATCTGATTTTGTAGTGGAGTCTGCTGTGCGCAGGACCACAACTCAGAACCCTTCTGAGGTCAGCTCGTTCACCCTTCCTCCTGCAGGTGGACAGGGCAGGCAGAGGCCAGCTCGGGCACGGTCACTGAGAGCAGAGACATGGTTCACGTCCGTGGAGACATGCTCCAGGGACAGGAAGCCCATCCTCATCCCGTGTGTTTGTGTGTGTGTGTGAGGATCCGCATGCACACAGGAGTGTGAGCGTGCAAGCAGCTGAGCATGCCTGTACTCGCACACACGAGAGTGTGAGCTGTAAGCACGCGTGAGTGTGGGCATGCACACGTGAGTGTGAGCGTGCAAGCAGCTGAGCATGTCTGTACTCGCACACACACGAGTGTGAGCCGTAAGCATGTGTGAGTGTGCATGCACACGAGTGTGAGCGTGCAAGCAGCCGAGCATGTCTGTACTTGCACACACAAGAGTGTGAGCCGCAAGCACGTGTGAGTGTGCGTATGCACGCAGGCAAGAATATGAGTGTGCAAGCACGTGAGCATCTGCATTTTACACGCACACCCGACTGCAGATGCATGAGTGAGTGTGCACATGTGAGGACGAATGTGTGCGCATGAGTGTGCCTGTGTGTGCACACGGCTGTGAGTGTGAGGGTGTTTGTGTGCACACACGAGTGAGTATGTGTGTGAATGAGTACCACTGCACCCTGCGGCTTCCCCCAGGTCCCCAGCTCATGGAGACCGTGTTGAGCAAGATGCTGGGTTTTCTGCACGGAGACCCTGCGTGAGGAGAGGGAGCCTGGGGGGCTCTTTGCCGGATGGACACAGGACCGGACACTTCTTGGAAGTGACGAACTTGACGTCCTGGAGGGACGTTCCTCTCCCCGCTGGGTTACCGTGCAGGGTTGTTTTCTCCTCAGACATACAGAAAAATATGCATAAATAAGAACTGGAGGGAAATACCTCACTGTGGATGAAGTTAAAACAACACACATGGTTTCTTTGTGTGCTTGTAAGGAAAGGAGGTGGAGGGAGGGCCAAGCTAGAAACGGACAGTCAATTTTGAGAGTTTTTTTTAATCATGTGAGTTTTAATATAAAGGGAAACCATGTTACGACAACATTTTATGGACAATTCCAAACTAGCATGAAGTGCTCTACTGGAAAGATGTCTTGACCTGGCTCTGCTCTCTTGTGCGTCTGGCTGGATGTTCTCTTGGTTGGAACTGTGACCAGTGGAATGCGAAGAATTTGGGCTTCAGGATTGAATCTCCCAGTCACTGGCTATGCAACCTCTCTGACCCTCACTTTCTTTATCTGAGCAATGGGGATAAGGGACCTACTTCCTAGAGTGGTTCTCAAGATGAGAGAAAATAGGGCACAGAAGCAATTGCAATAATATTATCCTTAATTGCACCTTCATACCTTATGGAAGCATTCATACATTATAATAGCAGAAGTTCTAAGAAATAATATAATAGAATGTTGCAATACAGATCCATCTATTTTTAAATGTTCAGGTTGACCTAAATTATACTTTCCTGTTTATTGTTAGTGTTGATTAAAGTGTTTTCTTGAATAATATGTTATAGCTTTAAAATGCATTCTTCTCTTATTGAAACTGTTTTTGTTTTTGTTTTTTTTAATAAATCACAACAGAGTTTGTGAGTCAACACTGCATTACTGACTTTCCAAGACCCTCGTGCTGAGGGTCCTTGTTTTTTTCCTCTTGTCCTGGCATCTGTCGTTTAACCACTAAACTTGCAAATGCAGCCGCTCATCATCTTACAGGTTACTCTACTGAGGATACAAGATGTAGCGATGTCAGTGTGGGAGTTAGGCTCAAAGGTCCCTTCTGGAAGGACTGTTTTGTATTTGGAGCACAAGGGAATAACTCTTGTGAACCCTACAGCGGAGCTGGATCTTTGTTACCTTGTTTGAAAGTTTTCTCAGTAGAACGAGTGAGATCTTCATCTCAGGTTAGAAATGTGCCCCGGCTTTGAGTACCGAGCCATGAAAGCCGACCCAGCAGAGAAACAGGGAGGCACCCCTGACTAGAAATGTACAAATCCGTGTCACCTGTGACGTGGGGCCACAGACATCAAACATAAAGCACCTGTCACCCCATCACCTGCACGGTTTCCCTTTCATTCCCGGGGCTCTCTCTGGCTCATGCCCACATTCACGGAAGCGCACAGAGTCGTTGCTCATGGAGATGGAACTTGGCTGTGGGGACTTTATAGAATTTCCCCCTCCGCGTGGCGAGCCGTGTCTGGGTGACGTTGCGTCTGATGCTCTGCCGTGATTTACGTCCCCATTCTCCTGTGGTGGCTCACTTCGACGCTTCTCTGTGCTAGATGTTGACGAGGAACGGACCTCCCTGGGACCCCAGGAGGAGGTCGAGGGGTGGAGGGGTATGAACATTCTGATGGCTTTGATCTGGATTGTCTGACTCTGTGAAGGATGCTTTTCTGAATCCACTTTGATGTGGCGCTGTTTTCTCCTGCCAGTTTGGACGATAAGGAAAGAGAATACTTTGTACTCGGTGGAGGGAGTCAGATTTGGGTCTGAAACAGGCTTTCTGCGTAACAACGAGATGGGACCTTGCGATGCTGCCTGCTGGTTGGGTGCTCACCTTTCCTGAAAGATGCCATCTGTCTGGAGTGAGAATGGGCTGTTTGCCGCGGGTTCCCCGAGGGACACGGCCATGGTGGTGGCAGGTGTTAACGAGCAGGCATAAGGGACTGTTCCCTTGGAGCACACGCTCTGAAGCCATCACCACCGCCCGCGGTGCCGGGACAGAAGGGCCCTTTCTCCAGGCCCCTTTGTGTGGTTGCTCTGGGGAGGCCCAGGGCCGCGCTACCTCAGCCGGACCATGCTCAGGACCCTCTGGCTGGCCTTGCTGGCTCTGGTCAGCGTGGCGGGCCCGAGCCAGGCCAGCGGCTTCACAGGTGAGGGCTCGGGGCCCGGCGTGGGTGATGCCGGAGGGGCGGGGGGCTCCCGGGGAGTAGGTCTCGTGGGGACGGCGGCCCTGCAAAGATGCGTCTGCTTTGAGAGGTGACGTCTGTTCCATCTGGTAACCAAACATTCTGGTAACCACAGAAGAGGTGGTGTGTGTGTGTGCCTCCAAGTCAGTGGGGGGGTGGGGGGGCTCAAATGCAGATTCTGAGTCAGCGGGTCTGGGGTGGGGCCTGGAACTCTGCATTTCTGCTGGCGGTGCAGGTGCTGTGGGCCCGCAGGTCACGCCGAGTAGTGAGTTCCTAGAGACTCAGAATCAAAGGCTCCGGAGTCTCGGAGCGTTGGCGTCCCCTACTTGCGAGGAAAGAGAGGGAGACCCAGAGCGGTCAGGGACTCGCCCCAGGCTGAATTTCCGCCAGGGTGACCCTTGCTGTGGACCCTGGTTTGGACCTTCTTCCCCTGTCAGGCAGGTTCAGGATCGTGAAGTGGACCCCCTCCACTAGGGTCCGCCAGCCCCAGTGTCCTCCTTGGTACATGAAGGTGAAAAGTGGCCGACAGGGCCGTGAGGGACCCTGTGAGGGCACCTGCCCAGAGCCTTCGCCAGGCCCACGTTCCCTCTGAGAGCATGTCGGGTTTCTGAAGCCCCAGACTGCAGAGACCCGAGATTGCAAACCTTTGCAATCATTTCCCTTTGAAATCTGTTTTATTCCATTGGGAATTCACACAAATCCACTCTGTTTCTACAATCAACTTCAGTTTAGCACGGGTTTAGAGTTTTTTTCCCCTGAAGGCAGAACTTTGGTTCGCGATTTCTTTTGCTTGATTTTTCCCGCGGGATGGGTAATGTGTAAACGGTACAGCCTCGAGGAGCTGGAGCTGTCAGGAGGTCCCCCGCAAACCCCTCGCCGTGCCTGTGAGGACACAGGGAGCAGAGGGCTCAGGGCTGTGTCGGGGTTACCCAGCTTCTTGCCCTTCATGCCAGGGGCTGTCTTTCTAGGCAGAGTTTCATTTACTTAATTCCAGGACGTAGCATTTGACAGATGACAAGGTGGGGTCACTGGGAGGGCATGAAACGTGCTCAGAATCACAAAGCTGGTATTTGGGAAGCTGGTGTGAATGTGGATCTTCTGACCCCAGGACCACGCTCTCTCCAGAGCATTATTTCCGCCTCTGAGACCAGAACCCAGGACCCCTGACCCCCACGCTGATGGCTCCTCGGAAGAATTCATAGAATGGGAGGGGAGGATCTGCTGTAAGGTGTCTCCTCTGGGCTCTGCCAAGAAGCCAGGCTTGGAGAGGACCTGGTGGCCTCCAGAGGAATGCAAAAATCAAAACACAACAAACAGATCCCAAACATGGTTTCAGTGGAGGTGTGTGCGCGTGCATGCGTGTGTGTGTGTGTGTGTGTGTGTGTGTGTATGTGTATGCCTGCATGCATTTTTGTGCACAGGAGGGCTCTGCTGATGCTCAGCTGGGAACTCATCGTGATCACATGGAGACAGGGGGTCCCCAGGGGCTGGGAAATGTAACCTTCATTAGTGGTTAGCATCTCCTCTTAGATTAAGATGCACAACAAAATCTAGAGCCACCTTCCCAGTCTCTCGGTGCAGGAAGCCTCGGCCTTTGTCCTGTTTGGCACTGTCCCATCATTACCCAGTGAGTGACGATGCTCACCGTGGCCACTTCTCCAGTCCCTCATCCACGTGATACCAAGCTCTGGGCCGTTACCTGGCCTGGGAAGCTGGTTTCTGCTGCCCCACCCCGGGTATGAGGGCCTCTCCATTCCTCGCCACAGCACCCCTTTGGTGAGGAGGGGCAGCAGGCTCTCTCCTGTTCCAGAGGCTCTGCCACCGCAGTGCTGACCGGGAGGCAGGCACGTGGCTCACATGGCTCTGGAGTGGGCTTGCTCTGGGTGCTGGGATCCAGCTGCGTGTTCTTCGCAGAGTAAGGCTGCTCATCAGCCTGGGCTGGAGGGCTGGCTCAGCCCCACTTCTTCTGGGGGTCACCAGCCCCCAGGGTCTCGCTTTCTGCACACTTGTGGGCTGCTGTGAAACCCAAGGACAGAGTCTTCGGGGCACCGTCCTGGTGTTGGCGATGCAGATGATTTCTGTCTCAAAGCTCCTTCCAGAAGCCCAGCTTCTCACTGGGGGGTACACACTATAATATGGAGTGCCTACCCCGTGGCGGTACGGTTTTGTAAAGCCGAGCGCTCAGAGGTTAAGTATCCGATAGTGTAAAGGACAGTCAAACCATCCCTTCACCCTACACCAAGAGCCCCAGGCTGGCTGCGCAGCCTGAGTTCCCGGGGGTTCCCTGCGGCTGCCTTAACACAGCACCACCAGGCTGGGGCTTCAAGAGCAGAGATTATCTCCTCCCAGCTCTGGAGGCCAGGAGTCCGAGATCAAGTCCGAGATCAAGGTGTGGGCAGGGCTGGTTTCTCCTGAGGCTGTGATGGAGAATCTGCTCCAGCCTCTCCCCCAGCTTCTGGGGGGTTGCCGGCAATCTGGGCGCTCCTTGCTTGGTGGAGGTATCTCTCCAATCTCTGCCTGAGTCTTCCCCTGGCGCCCTCCCTGTGTGCCTGTCTGTCTCTGTCCAAATTTCCCCTTTTGTAAGGACACCAGGCATAATGGATTGGGGCCATCCTACTGCAGTATAAGCTCATCTCAACTAATGATATCTGCAAACACCTATTTCCAGAACTTCAACACATGAATTTTGGAAGGGTGGGTGGGGACACGATTCAGCCCATGACAATCCCTGCTACATGAGGAGACAGAGGTTCCGTGGGCAGACGGGGACGCCCCAGGCTGGTGAAGGTAGGGGGTGCCTCGGGGTCTTGAGAACCCAGCAATCAGACTGACAAAGGGGCGGGGGCCGTGGGCGTCTGTGCACAGCAATCGGGTTCCAGGTGAGAGACGCAGGGACCCAGTGGGCATGTGGACGTCGTCCTCAGTGGGGCACTGTGCTCTCCTCTCTGACAACAGCTGTCCTTGTCAGACTGAGCTTTACCATCTAGAAACTTTTATGTGTGCTCAAGGTATTGCTTATTTACCTTGCCCCTCATTCCCAAAAAGGCTGCCGTTGCATCTGAGCCTGTCACGTGGCAGCCCCTCATATATATTTCCTGAGGGAATGGTTGTGGATTCATTTCACGTGTGACATGCCCAAGGCTCGGGGAGATTCAGAGGCATGCACAGGATTCTCCAGCCGGCAGGATCGGGGAACAGGGTACAGGAAACGGGGACACGAGCCCCAGACGTTTGGTCCCGGCCCTCCACGTCTTTAGTGCACCGTCAGCCCCCCGGCTATGGGGGGGCAGCTCCAGGCTCTGCAGAGGGGACTTCTGAGCATGCAGGTCCCCCTTTACCCTTGGCTCCTCCGAGTTCACGCGATTACCTGACTTCTCAGCAGGCCGGTGGGCAGACACTGGGGGTGCTGCTGGCCTCCCTTGCTCTTGCAGAACCCCTTCTATCGATTTGATTCCAGCATTTTCTTCTTCGCTGTTTTTCCTCCATCCCTCCTCCTACCCCCTCGTAGAAAAAGGCCTTTCCTTGCTGAGCTTCCAGCTGTGCAACTACAGCGTGACCCGAAACGTCCAGAAGGTGGAGGCTGTCCAGGCATCGCACGTGATCTACGCTCCCTGCGGCGGGTGGATCCCATGGAGGCGGTGCCCTAAGACGGTTTACAGGACCCAGTATGTGGCTGTGGAGGTCCCCGAGTCCAGGAACGTGACCGACTGCTGTGCGGGTTATGAACAGCTAGGCCTTTACTGCGTCCTGCGTGAGTCCGGGGCTGCCGGCGGGCGGGGGACCCCGGGACCCCTGATGAGACTCAGGACAGGCACTGTTCACAACCCTTAGCCCTTCTGGAGCAATGGTTCTCAAGCTAGAGCACGCATCAGGATCGTCTGGAGGGCTTGTCCTAGTGCAGATCACAGGCCCAGCCCCAGGTCTCGGAACCAGCGGGTCAGGGTGGAGTACAAACTCCCAGCTGGTCCTGATGCTCTGGGGCCCCCCTTTGAGAACCTGTGCTTTGGAGTAGTGGTTCTCAGGCCTGACTGCACACTGAAGCCCCTGGGCAGCTTTAAAAATGCTAATGCGTGGATGTGGTCCTCAGAGAAGGTGATGGAATTGGTCTGGGGCGTAGCTGGGGCACTGGGATTTTTTTTAAAGGTCTCGAGCGATTTGAACACGTAGCTGAGTTTGAGAACCAGCATTGCAAACTCTTCTGTATCGGTGATCTTTCCTTTTTAAAAGCTGCAGTGGAATGCTTCCTTCAACTGAAATACTACTCTGAGCCCCCATGTGTGAAAGAGAGGGAAAGATTCCCCTCAGTCCTCTTTCCTCAGGGCTGTTTGGAAGACGCTTGAGCCAGTTGCCCGGGAGACCAGCGTGGCTGTCCCCAGCCAAGTGTGTGAGGCCAGGGGGGCTGGGCTTTGCAACATTCAGGGCTGAGCCTCTTGACATGGAGGGAACTTTCCAGAAGACCTCTTCCAGGGGAAAGGATGCATGTGTGTGGGTGTGGGTGGTGGTGGTGGTTAAATTTGAGTCAATACCAGATCTAAAATGAGTTTCTGAGCCGCCAGAAGGGCTCCCTGCCCCCACCCCGTCAGGGAGGGGAAGTGGGACGGGTGTGGCCCCAGTGGGTTTCCAGGGGCCACCCCTAGAAAGGAGGGCCGCTGCCTGCAGAGTGCACAAAGTCCAGGGTCCGGGAGGGGCATCCCACATGACCCGTCCCCAGGGGGCCCGAGGCCAGGTCGCTGCATACGAGGGGTGCCGGCTGCCTCCCCACCCGGAGGCCACAGGATGTAGTTGGTGCAGCCCCTGCAGAAGGCAGTGTGGGCTTGGCGCACTGAGTCATCCCGAGCATGCCTTTCTCAGGCCCCCGAAGCCACCTCACAGAGGACAGAGCTGGTGACGTGTCCCACCGGCCCGGTTCAGAGAGCCACACACAGAGATGAGCGTTAAAATGACACCACTATCACCAAGGGGCGCCGCTACCCATACAAATCTCAGGGCCCACAGCCTGCTGCCAGCCCCGTGTTCCCACCACTTCCCCGAGGGGGCCCTTGCAGGGTGGGGCTCTCCCCTGGGGTCCTGCCAGGGCCTGGATCTAAGCAGTCCCTTCCTGTGCGGACACTGGCCCCCTTTCCACCTTCCCTGTCTCCAAGGAAGCGCTGCCTGGGAGCACCTCTCTTCCTGGGGCTGGTGGGGGTCCCGGTGTTGGGGCGGACTCAGGCCGCGCACCTCGCCATGGAGGGTCAGGATCTGGGATAGAAGGTGGGGGCTGCCCTGTCCTGTCCATTTTCACCTGTGAAGGCCACTCTCCTCCCACCTGCTCGCTGCTGCTGTGAGGTCACTTGACTAGTGAGGGCGCCTGTCCGGAGGAGCCCCTGGAGCGCCTGAGCCCCGCCAGGCCCCCGCGCTGCCTGTGCCATCCTGTCAGGCTGCTGCCCTGCTGTGCTGAACGGGTGAGCTCTCCGGGCGGGGAGGCCCGGCGTCCCCTCCCCACCACCAGCTGCTCATCTTTCCTGCCTTCGACAAGCCAGCCCCCCAGGAAATGCCTTTCGGGGGACGTCAACCCCACTTTCGGGGTGTTGGCACCTTTCATTAGGAACTCACCAGGTTGTGGAGAGGCCCAGAACATTCTAGTTAGAGAGTCCCATGCGCAGGGCTCTCTGGGGGAACTGCTGGTAATGGTGTGGCTGGGGGAGGGAGGGCGAGGCTGTGGCGGGGCACACACGGGAGCCAGAAAACAAGGAGGTCCCTGGAGGACAAGCGGCCCCTCTGAGGTGGCTAAGTGGGGTGGGGGTCGCCCCTGGCCCTTAGAGAGTCGTTCTAGGAGCCGTGTGGGGAAGAGGCGGCCAGGAGCCCGGAAGGAAGGAGTAGAGGACCTTGATTGTGTGCGTCCTTTATGATAGGCCAGCCGGGCAAGTTCTGGGTCACTGATGGCCGGGAACCGCCCCCACCCCATGCAGATGGGATCACAGACCTGGGGGCGGGCAGGTGCCTTGACCAGGGTGGCACAGACCTGGGCTGCATCTCCCCGACCCCAGGTCAGATTCAGTTTGTGGCATTTGAGGAAGGGGGCGCTGGTGGGGGTGGGGGAGGGGCAGAGATGGGAGGGGCAGGGGCACCGAGCTTGGGCCTCTTCCCCAGGAAGGCCCCTGCTTGGTGCCAGGGCCCGGTGTGACACCACAGCCGCTACGGGGCCTCTGTGTGGCGGCCCCGCCCTCCTCACGCTGTGCTCAGCTCCTTTGATCGAAGCTTGGTCACAGGTGCAGGGCGACAGGCTGGCTCTTTGGAACGGGAAGTGAGAAGTCTCTCTAAGTGCCCTTGACCTGCTGCTTGATTTGCACAGAATGAGACAGGGGCCAGCGCCTGTGGTAGCCACAGGGCCCAGCCTGGGGATTTGGGGGGGACAGGAGGGCAGAAGTTCCTCTTCCCTCCAAGTCGGGGGTGACCCGCATCTTGGCGATGGGTTTTCTCGGCTGGGACTCTTCCCCCAGGCAGCCGTGAACCCCCAAGCTGGCTGGCTTCTGTCCCCTCCCACTCAGCAACCGACCTTCTAAAAAGGGAAGACTGTTATGAGTACACGTGTGATGTTCCCTTCAGTCTAGACAGAGGACTTTTTCCATTTTTGTTTTTTTAAAGTCCTTAAAGTCCGGCATTGGGGAAACAATGATAAGTCATACATTACTTTGTTTCAATGTATCGTCAATACAATTACAAAAGTGAATTACATGAGCCAAGCAGAAAATCTGGAAACACAGAAAAGGACAAAGAGAAATTAGCCGTGCGCCCTCTGCCCACGCACAACCATTGTGGATTTGCTCCTTAGCCCCCGTGGGGGGCAGGCGTTCTAGAAACGCGTGGTCACTCTGACCCGATTCTTTGTACCATGTTCTTCCCACTTAGCAATTCATCTGGAACACCGTTCCTGTCAATAGATTTTATGAGCAGCATGGCTTAATGGCCACAGGGCATTACGTCATTGGCATGGCTATAGCCCCCTTGATGAAGCAAGCCCCTACCACTGAACGTCTAGTTGCTTCCAACTTTTCATTAGGATAAACACCACCATGAGGAGTATCGTAAGGTACAAACACTGCTGTGCACGGGGGGCATGATTCACTCGCGATGAATTCCTAGGAGCGTCCCAGCCGATGCTCACCCACTGCGGTGACAGACCAGGTTTCCGCAGGCTCATCATCTGGGCAAGCCCAGGACCCCACGGGGCCAGGAGGCTCCCCCAGCGGGTGACCAGGACCCTTTTGGGGAAGGAGGGGGGACGGGAAGATGATTCCAGAGCCGGTCAGATTCCCAGCCCTGGGGAGAGACTTCAGTGCCGCTGTCTGGACAGAAACTTCCAGGCCATCTCGTTGACCTGTGACTAACCTTGGGTTGCCAGGCGCTGGGCAGTCCTGTTTCATTGTTTGTGCTGAGTTCGTGGAAGGAGAAGCAGATTTTTGACTTTCCACCAAGTTGGAACTGTTGACTGTTCTCTTGGGGCTCTCAGTAAGCAGTCGGCCTCCAAGGACGGAGGGGGAGGGCCAGCAGCAGCTACATTAAGATGAACTTTAACTTGAAATCACTTCGGTTGTGATCAGGCGACCACTTTCAGAAGCCAGTTTTTCTTGGTGGCCTGTATTTTCTTTTTATTTAAATAAACCTCTTAGTTTAGAGTAGTTGCAGATTTACAGAGAGGTGGCAGAGATGGTAGACGGTCCCTGTATCCCCTCCCTGGCGCCCATGATGGTGGTGCCTTCCGTTACCATGGTGCGTCTGCCCCAACGAAGGAACCAACACCGTGCATCACTGTTAGTTCAACCTCACACTTTATTTGGATTTTACTTTTTTTTTTCCTAGTGTCATTTTTCTGTCCCGGGAGCCCACCTTACATCTAATCTCATGTCTCCTTGGCCTGTTGGTTTTTACGATGGGAGGGAAGGCAATGACCTTGAGGTCCCTGAGGGGTGGCCCTACAGGGTTGCTGGCATTTCCACCCCAGCGAGGATCCCGGGCTGCACCACCAGCCGGTGCTCCATGCCCCCAGAGCCACCCCAACGTGGCGATGTCTCCAGGACTTTAGATGTTGGAACAGGCACGTGGTTGACTGGGAAGTGGCGAGGGAACCACGGATGGCACGGAGAGGAAGTGGTATTGAGGCTGAATGTCAAGTCTTCGCTCAGCAGTGTGGGTCACACTGGCCTAGCTCCATGAGAAGAGTGAACGCAGACTCTCCTTCTCTGGGCAGTTTTGGCTTTCTCCTCCCTTCCTTGGCTGGCACAGCTGCCCTGGGTGATGTGCTCCCAGCACAAGGAGGGGCCCCACCTTCTGTCTGTCTGGAGCATTCTGCAGAGACCATGGTGGACCCAGGGGGCTGTCCCTGGGACTGCAGCCCCTGCCGCTTCCCTTCCACATGGGACCCCACGCGTCTCGCAGGGGCTAACCTTCCCCACCCTTGGGGGATGTTTGCAGAGCGTGGTCACCTGCTGACCTCTTCTGCTTTCCCTGGAGTCTGGAGGGCGTGGAACGGCACTTCCAAAGGTCTGGGAGGGTGCGAGGCTTTAGATGAATCTGGGCCGAGCCATATGCTGTTGCCTAACACCCAAGGTAGCTGGAGCCCTCATCCCCAGTGTGGGCGACAGGAAGGCTGCGGATCACACAGGCCCTTCCTCAGATGCCTGTGCCCCTCCCTGCTGCCCCCAGCCTCCTCGAGCTCTCTGCTGCTGGGCCTCCTTCATCCCCTGCTGCCCTGAGCCCAGCTGCCCCTCTGGGTGTGCAGCCCTGCACACTCCAGCCACAGGAGCGCCCCCAGCAGAGTGCCCCACCTTGAGGGAGGCACCCTGGCTTCCCCAGGGTCAGGTTCTTCTCCTTGCTCTTGAGCTTTCTACCACCCTGAGCGCCAGCACCACGACTCCCGGCCAGTCCCCCTGAGCCCACGGATTCTCCGGTAGTTTGCTGCATCTCAGTCCCCATCATGTCTCCACCACTGCCAGGCCTAGTTTCTCTAGGTCTATGTGCACACTGGCCTTGTCCACTGGGATCTCCGTGTCCTGGAAGTGGGGGCTTTGCCTCTGGCCCACTGCTGGATGCTGGGCACCTAGCATGTACCTGGCACATAGTAGGTGCTCAATAAATATTGAATGAGTGAGTGAGTGAGCTAGTGGGATACAGAGCAGCAGGGGGGTCTTTAAGATGGGGTGGAGCCCCTGTACCTGGCCTAGAAAGAAGGGGACACCCAGCACCCCAGCTCACACTGTCCTCCTTCCAGGAAAGATGGTTAGACTACATTAAAGTCAGAGTACCCGGCCCTGGATGGTTTGCTCTGCAGGACATGGCAAGGTGATGCCCAGCCCAGGATATGGTCCTTGAGCAGGTCGTGCTGCGTGTCTCCAAGAACCGCAGATGGAATCCAATGTCGGGAACACCAGTGCTTGTGGCCAACATCACTGATTGCTAATCACTCCCCCCCGCCCCCACCAGCCCTGAATCGGTCCAGGGAGTTTGCCTCGAGACCTGGGGTCTGCCCGGAGGTGGAGCTGGAAGCACCCGCCTCACCATGCATGCTGGACACAGACTGCCTGGGACTTCGGAAGTGCTGCCCCTCATCCCGGGGCCACCACTGTGTGGCTCCTGCCCTCCGAGGTAGGGTTGAAGCTCTGGTCTGCGGGAAGGGCGGGGTGGGTGGGTTTCCAGAAACAGCAGCTCCATTTTACAGAGAGCCTGCAGCCGTGTGCACGGGCGCACTCCACTCCTGGGCAATGTCTTTGTCCAAATCTGGCCACTGAGATCTCAGAGGGAGGACTGCTCACAGGGGGCCTGAGGAAGGAGGATATTCTTGGAAGAGCAGTGACTCAGATCTCCCTGGTGTGCTGGAGAAGCCCAGGGGCTCCGGTGGTGCCCGTCGGAAGCTGAGCTGTGTCATAGCGGGGAGAGATGTAAAAACGGTGGCTGGGGGCTCCTGCAGGACACTGGTTTGGCAGATCTGCAGCCCGGCCCTCAGTATGCACCTGTCTGGTCTGGAAAGTTCTGCTCCTGACCGTGGGTTGCTCCCAGGAGAACGGGCTGGTCAGGGTTCAGAACTAGGGAAGCATATCTAAATATTGTATATATATCATATGTGATAGATGTTATAATGCTACAGTATCAGCATGGTATGTATCCGTATAGTGTAAAGTAATAGTATACGTTCAATCCTACTGTACACACTATATTATCTGGTGTATTCTCTATATAATATTATACGGTGTATGTAGGGCCATATATATATAACATAAGAGAAGGGAGGGGTGGCAGGTGGGGGAAGTGTCCCACACTGTCCCTGGTCGCAGATTTCTTTATATGACCTTCTGTTGACCCCAGCCTGTCCCAGGCCTGTAGCTCATCACCATGTGTCCTCGTGCAGCTCCAGAGAACCCTGTGACCTTCTGGTACCAGGTGACTGTCCTGGTGAAAATGGACTTCAAGAAGCTCGAGGAGGTGGACCCCAGACTCCTGGACCACATGCGGCTTCTGCACTCCATGGTAGGTGGGGAGGAAAGGGCAGGCCGCCGGGGCTGACTCAGGTGGAGGCACTGGGTGGGAACTGAGGGTCGAGGGGGGATTTCCACAAGTGACCCCGACATGGCTGACTCAGAACCAAACGTGAATTCTTAATTAAAAAAAAAAAATAAGCCTTAGAAAGGTATGACTTATGTGCAATAGAGTGGACCCATGGCAGCGTGCGGCTTGATGTGTTCTGAGGTAGTGGTGTTGTGCGCTAAAACCCAGAGTCTTTTAGTTTAAATAGAAGGGTGCCGCAGTGTAGACGGCCTAGGCCCCAGAGCTGCGCTCTCACTAACCTCACTCAAGATCCCTGAGGTTCGGGTGCCTGGGTGGCTCAGTCGGTTAAGCGACTGCCTTCGGCTCAGGTCATGATCCTGGAGTCCCGGGATCGAGTCCTGCATCGGGCTCCCTGCTCGGCAGGGAGTCTGCTTCTCCCTC